GATCAAATTATTAAAAAAATAACTGAAATCCAGTTAGCCAGTTACTATAAATACTGTCCAGACACAATAACAAGGCCTGTGAGTGTTGGTTAACTGCAGCAGGGAAAAACATGTCTCCTGCCCTGACAGATAGGGCCATGATATGTCATAGAAATACAAAAACAGAAAGGAGCATCAGACCAAAATTGGATAAAAGAGTCCAAGATAAATTTTAATTGTTCATAAGAAGTCATATAAAATGAGCCACCTGTTTCAGGGGCATCACCACTCTCCCTTCATCAGGGCTACAAGCAAAAACTATAGTCATGATGATAAAAAAATGATGTCTAAATATGCATATATACCACACAATTTTGAATATCACATATTACCCACAATTACATGAATGTCATTCATCTTGAGTGGATTTGAAAATGTTAAAAAAGATACAAGCGATAGCAAAAACGTCCAAAAAAGAAAGTTGATAAATAATGTATTACATTGCATCAAAAACAAAATATGCAAAAAGAGTAATGAAAAATCAAGCTGCTGAAACAGGTATTTGACTGCTAGAACAAGTACTAAGAAGGTAAGTACTGCTGCTGAAATAAAACTAGCTGACTCCTAAAATAATTTAAAAAAACAAGAGACCAAGCTACTGAGGGGTGTGCTATGAGACAGAGCTGTGTAAAAGTCAGAACTGACTTAACATAAGTACAAATCCTATGTGAGGTAATACAGCTCCTGTCTATGTATTTATCCTGGGTATTTAGCTGTTCACCTATAGTTCAGCTGTAATGATAGAAGAGACAGCTATTTTGAAAAATGATATTGTGTATTGTGACGTGTGCAGGAGGCCAGTGTCTTAGCAACCACTACCCTGTTGCCTGATGGGTAAGCAAACCAGTTGACATCCCAGGAAGCATCCCAGGACATCCTATAATTGGTTAATTGGTCAGACAGCTTCTTGTGCCTTTGTTTCCATTCAACTGTGAGCTGTCATGTGCTACAAGGATTGCTTTGGGTGCAGATTTTCTCTGATGGCTGCATCTTTTTTTTTGCACGGGGCCCATCCCATCCTTAACATTTATACAGGCTCCTTATTTCCTTATCTAAGAAAAGGGTCTTGTATAGATGAAAGGAATCTCAAGCCTCTTTATATGAAAACAGAACAAAGCAGGTGTGACATGTAATTTGCTAGCAAATGTTTTTTTTTAGTAAATGCCACTTTTGCTGTAGTACATTGTATATATATGTACAGGTGCAATACTTCACAGACTAGTTTGGGGCACCCCTAAAGCAAGTTGTTTAACATTTCAATTTAAGCATTATATTAAGATCTGCTCTCTGATGAATGGAATTAAAAAAAAGTTGCATTGGCACATTTTTAATGTTTCACTGATTAAATAATTGTTGTTTCAATTATTAAAATATTACATTTGTTTTTACATTAGTACATGTCCCCCAAAGAGATTTTCACAGCTCACATGTTATTTGACAATGCCTTGCCTGGAAAATGGCTAGAACTGGTTTTAAGATTGAGTTCCTATTGACTTCAGTGGTGATTTGGATGTTCAGAACTTTGGTGCAGTTAGGCAAACCTCCCACAACCCGAACCTGGCTACATACAGCTCATCAGTAACGAATAGAATATTTTCATCTTAATCGACCATGCATATACAGTCTATATGCTTGCTGCTGTGTTGGCTTGCAGTTAAAACTTTTGCGAATGGAGATTGTGATGGTGATTACGGATAGAATAACATGTAAATGTGTGGAATTATATACAGAATGTATGCATTAAAAATTCACAAACTGCATGATCTACTCAAGCTGTATATCTTAAACAACAAAGAGTTAATTTCATATCTATATGAGCAACAGTGAACGTATGATTTTATTTAACATAAACCTTAAAATACAAGTATATGCTAAAAAAAAACTAGCTGACAATTGACTTGAATTTAAATTAATATTTTCTGTTGGTAGATTCATGAAAAGAACGTTCTAACAAGGGATGTTATAAAGTCTCTGCTTAACCTCCCTAGCGGTCTGATTATGTCCAGATTTCTGTGCTCACAGCAGTACTTTTTTTGCATGGAAATATGTATTTTTTTTATTGTAGGCCTGTAATTTTTAGGAATAACTCACTGAAATCTGTCTGAGCAAGAGTCTAGTAACCATCCCGGGTATGATAAAATTTGAAACACAAAATCATAAATTATAATTTAATAATCATAATGAATAATAATATAATAATAATACATTTAATTAAATAATATAATCAAACCAAAAACACTGAAATTTGAAATATAGCGCCAAGTTCGCACATCACTGAGCAAAGTCGCAAAATCATTTTCAGTGTCTGATGACGAATTTCACCACGAATCATTATCACTCAATTCTGCAAGTGATTCTAATTTACTATCGCTGTTCTCTAGCTGGTCTGAAACCACAGGACAAGGTAAGTGAAGAAGAGATCCCGGAGCAGCGCTGCAAGGTATTCCAGAGTGTAGCTCGGGGTTACCGCTTGTGGTACTGAAACTTTACCCCGAGCTACACTTGGGAATACCGCCAGGGAGGTTAACATTTTACTAAACCCACAACAGGAAAATCAGCCTGTATCTGCAGTAAAGCATGCTTTTTATACTCACTGTGGAAACCTAAGGGGTTAATACTCTGCATTGTGTAAAAAGGCCGTTTGATCCTTTCTTTTCTGTTCCTCCCTTTTTCTCAAGCGACCGCCTCTTATTTCCTGATAAGACATACTGAACAGTAGGCATTTTGCACATGCTCAGTTTGATGTGTATTGCTAGAGTTTTTTTTTCTTGGGAGAATGATCAGCATAGGTCAGGGGTTTTGCATCCTCCTAGAACAGAAAGAAAATTCCTCCTACAAGCTTTAGCTACTGCTGGGCTAGACAATGATAGAAGTCACAGAGGTCAGGGGTTTTGCATCCTCCTAGAACAGAAAGAAAATTCCTCCTACAAGCTTTAGGCACTGCTGGGCTAGACAATGATAGAAGTCACAAAAACTGAGCTAACTTCTGATGAGAAAAGGTATTTAGCAGTTTATAGCTGCTAAAATAATTGCATTCCATGTTGTGTGTACTGTGGGAGACCAGATATAGTGGATGCAGGGTCCTGGGTTCAGTAACACTTTAAGTTACTGCTATCAAACAATTATAGGTCAATTACTGTGTCTGTTCTCCCTTTCTGCAGATGTAATTTATTGTTGTCATTGCCATAGTTTATAAAACATATTATTAGTATGCAAGCTTTAAGCTCATAAAAAACTTTATTAGTAAAAGCAGGCTGTGAAAAATATGTAATTGTATTGTTTTTTTGTAGTTGTAAAATGGCTGAGATTGTCTGAGATTGAGCCCTGCAGTCACTTTTGCAGCAGTTGTTTTCCTGTTTCAGGTCATATCCCTGCTCAATGTCCTTTTGTCTCTTTCAGTCAGTTGGCCATGTTGACCATGCTTATGCTTATCAGACAACGGTTTGCCGGGAAACTGTATATGCCGTCATATCCTTTAATACTGTACCTCGCAACATAGCAAATACATTATTATTATTGTTATTATTATTATTATACAGTATTTATAAAGCACCAATAGTTCGCTCAGCGCTGTACATTACAGAGGGGGACAGAACATCTGACAGAACAATACCAATACAATGCAAAACATGAGGGGGATCGAGGGCCCTGCTCTTTCGAGCTTACAATCTAGGATTGGCAACTTCAGTCACAGAGGCACCAGCAAAGTGGGCACCAACAATTTGCTCTCTTTGAAGCTTGGTAAGCTCTGACATAACTCCGTATTACTAGCAGTGCATGCAGTAAATGACAAAAGTGAGGATTCAGCACCTGTTAGCTAGGTGTCTCATCACACAGCAGAAACAAAAGAAAGTTACATCACTTTCTGCTTTTAAATATGTAGTCATTTTCACACCTGAAAATCATGTAGTGTTTCCATTTGTTTGTCCAACCCCTGTGTGTGTATATATATATATATATATATATATATATATATATATATATATATATACACATACATATACATATATATATATATACATATACATATACATACACACACACACATACATACAGTTGTGTTCAAAATAATAGCAGTCAGACATCACTAACCTGATCAATCACTGTTTTTGGTAGAACTGATATTTCTACATGGCAAATAATTTACTAGCAGGTGTAGTAGAGTAATAGAAATGCCAACAGACCCAACAGTCATGATATGCATGCTGCTGATTCTGTGTAATTGAATCACTAATTGAAAGGGGCATGTTCAAAATAATAGCAGTGTGGAGTTCTATTAGTGAGGTCATTCATTCTTTGAAAAACAGGTGGCAATTATTGCCCTTATTTAAGGAAGGAAGGCAGCAAATGTTGTACATGCTGGTTACAGTGCATTTCTCTCTGAAATTCTGAGGAAAATGGGTCGCTCCAGACATTGTTCAGAAGAACAGCGTACCTTGATTAAAAAGTTGATTGGAGAGAGGAAAACATATAAGGAAGTGCAGAAAATGATAGGCTGCTCAGCTAAAATGATCACAAATGCTTTAAAATGGCAACCAAAACCTTAAAGACGTGGAAGAAAGCGAAAAACTACCATTCGAATGGATAGAAGAATAGCCAAAATGGCAAGGACTCAGCCAACAATCAGCTCCAGGAAGATCAAAGAAGGTCTAAAGTTACCTGTGAGTACTGTTACAATTAGAAGACGCCTATGTGAAGCCAAGCTATCTGCAAGAAGCCCCCGGCAAAGTCCCACTGTTGAAAAAAAGACGTGCTGAAGAGGTTACAATTTGCCAAAGAGCACATTGACTGGCCTAAAGAGAAATGGCGCAACATTTTGTGGACTGATGAAAGTAAGATTGTTCTTTTTGGGTCTAGTGGCCGGAGACAGTTTGTCAGACGACCCCCAAGCACTAAATTCAAGCCACAGTACACTGTGAAGACAGTGAAGCATGGTTGCGCAACAGAGGCGGACTGACAATTCATGGGGCCCCCGGGCAATAGGGGATCATGGGGCCCCTGTGTCCTTGCCCAAACTCAAAAAAGCCTATGAAAAAGGTACCAGGAGCATCTCATGGAGCCCCCTACTGACCCCGGGCCCTCGGGAAGTGCCCGAGTTTCCAAATGGTCAGTCCGCCCCTGTTGCGCAAGCATCATGATATGGGGATGTTTCTCATACTACGGTGTTGGGCCTATTTATCTCATACCAGGGATCATGGATCAGTTTCAATACATCAGAATATTGAAGAGGTTATGCTGCCTTATGCTGAAGAGGAAATGCCCTTGAAATGGGTGTTCCAACAAGACAACGACCCCAAACACACCAGTAAACGTGCAACATCTTGGTTCCAGACCAACAAGATTGACGGTATGGAGTGGCCAGCCCAATCCCTGGATCTTAATCCAATAGAAAACTTGTGGGGTAACATCAAAAATGCAGTTTCTGAGGCAAAACCAAGAAATAGAGAAGAACTGTGGAATCTAGTCCAATCATCCTGGGCTGGAATACCTGTTCTCAGGTGCCAGAAGTTGGTTGACTCCATGCAACACAGATGTACAGCAGTTCTCAGAAACAGTGCTTATACAACTAAATATTAATTAAGTGATTCAAAGGAAAGCAAAATCTTCAAAACATTTTTCAGTTTATATAGTGAATGTTTGAGTTTGTAAAGAAGAATACAAACACTGCTATTTTTTTGAACAGTCTAATATTCACTTTTCTTCAATTTTTTTTAGGAACAACACATATTTGATATATTTTTCTTCATGTTTTGATTTGTAATAGAATGTGTAGTGTTCCCAATGCATTTGTGTGTATGGAAATAAAAGCTATTAGAAGGATTTTGAGCTTTATTCACTTTTTTCAACACAGTGCTTGTGCTGTTCTCCTCATATTTGTTATTTAACTGTGCATTGTATCACCAATTCTTATTTCACCACGTTTGTTTCTATGTCTTGATCTGTTGCTGCCATTGCTGGCCAGAATTTGCATGCTGCATGCCTCTGTTCTTGCTAGTAAAGTTTTTTCTCTGCTGGGCGTGGTTTTAGGCAAGCCTTGGTTCTGGTCACTTCCTGCAGCTATTTTATGTGCTTTATAGCTGTGGGACAGGACATTCAATACCCTGGGCTTGTGAAGGCATCAGTTTTTGACCAGCAGTTAGCTTCAGGAAAGATATCACAGGACAGCATCAATACCTCTACTACCTTACAGTATTGTATCACTGTTTGTCGCTGTACTTGGATCAAATAAACCCACGCTGATTTCATTCCGTGTATACGTTTGGATCCGTCTAACCTGAGCATCTGCCGGTCCGGTCTGCTCCACTGCTTAGATACGAAGGTAGGAAGTTACACAGCCATTATCAGTTATACCTTCATTCGCCTTCATGTGGGGACAGAACAGTGCTATTATTTTGAACACAACTCTATATCTTACAAAATATAGCTATTCAGGTTCAGAGTATTAACATAATTTACTGGTTTTCATTAAAAGGAAATCTGATAAGTATAAAATGTTAATTTCCCAGTGAAAGGATTCTATGTAAGGACTGCATTTAATATTATGATTTATTACTATCTAGTGTTATTTAAATAGAAAGATTCTGATAGCATTTTGAATTGGTAAATGAGGCACCAAGTCTCAGCACAACACATCTGGTAGCATGGTTTTGGACTTTATGGAGGCCCACCACTTTACAAACGTCGTACATGAATTAATTTGCATAGAAATAATGTAGCTTTTGCTCTTTGCCTTATTTTTAACCCGATGAGACCTTTCCTTATGATTCACAGAAGGGACTTTTGCCATTTTTACCATATAAAGTGTTTCACAAAGACAGAGTAATGCAAACAACAATTAGCACAAAAGTTCTGAAAAAAAAACAGGAATTTACGTGTACACTATTTGTTCATACAGTGGTCAACACAATAGCAAACTGTAAATCTCAAGTGCAAATAGTATGCCATACAAACATTTGGATGCACAGTTGTGAATGAGAAAAAGTAGCCCTGTGCCTTAATATTAACTATACCACTGGCCCTCAGAAACCTCTATTTAAAATAATGTAGAAAAGGGAAAAAAATAGGGGAAGAAAAGAAAGAAGACACACAGCCACACAGTGATGTTGGAGAAAAAGTGTTTCAATCTTAACCTGCATGAGGGGTTCTTTACTGTTAGAATGAAAAAGTGCAGAACTCTCTTCCACAGTTAGTGGCAGCAAAGATTGTAGTTAATTTTAGATGTGTATACATAGATACAGTAATTCATATTGACATACTCACACACAGACACACACATACATACATACACATGAGCTGAACTGGATGGACCAGTGTCTTTATTAAACCTACCAACTACTGTATGTAACAAAAGGATCTGTTAGAGCTACTTGAGTAGCAAGTTTCTGATTTACACTATACAGCTAGAAGAAACAGCATGATGATACATGGCTAAGACAGGTAGACTTTTTATATCACTTATGTAGCATACATTTACTGGTGTGACTATTAAAGCAGGAACTTCACCCAAATGGGGTAATTCCACTTGTTTGTATCCCCCCCCCCCTCCACTGCCACATCTGGCACTTTTTGTGGGGAAGGTGGAAGCGGGTACCTGGTTTTGAAAGGTACTTGCTCCCACTTAAGGTCATTCTGGGACACTTCAGTGCAGTGTGTGCAGTAGGTAGCTGACTGTGAAGCCACAAGGCTTTACTTCCGGTTTCCCTTACTGAAGATTCAGGCTCCTGCACCCAAAGCCAATTGAAGAATCAGCTTGGGTGAGGACATTGCTGCATCCCTGGACAGGTAAGTGTCTTTATATTAAAAAGTCAGCAGCTACAGTATTTGTAGCTGTTGACTTTTAATTTTTAGGGGGAGCCTGGAGCTCCACTTTAACCATTGAACAAATTGATTTTCCAACTTAGTGGACAATCATCACTGCAGACATTCATTTTTGTGAAATATGATCAAAGCAAACTTATCTAGCATACCAGACAATAATTGTTTTAAAAATATGATAATCTTAAGTAAAGTGGTCAGAAATGAGGACTGGTTACCTTGAAATCATGAATTACATAAATTATTAAAATACATATTTTCATACTGTTAATGCTCATAATAATTATAATAGTCTCTGATCTTTGAAAATTATGACCACCCATACAAATATTGGCTATATAGTTTTACATTTTCTTCATTGTTAAAGAGTTTTATGAAAGGACTTTTTAAATGTAAAATAAGTAATCTTCCCTATTTTTTACTTAAATTTCTGCCTGTGTCATTTGTCACATCAAATGGCTGTTTAAGTGATTTCTACAATCCATTTACAGCACAGCACATTTAAATCCTTCCATCAATATGACAGGCAACAATGCCTTTGTAAGAATGGAGTGCAGAGCTGTTGAAAATGATATGAAAGTTCATTCTTTTACAGAGGTGCACATATGACAATTTGGTACTTAATTGAAACGCACAAGAATGTTTTTCTTCCCTTCATTATCTTTGTTCATTTCTAGCAGTAGCCTGTCACAACAGACTCCTCATTCCGAATACACATTCCAACTAGATCAACCTTTCAGTTACAAAAGCTGGTATGCTTCTGAGAGATACCGATGGATTCAAACAGCATAAATGACAATGGTTTTTTATCAAATTGATGACAATTGTTACAAGATCCAAAAATGCATGGCTCAGTCAATGCAAACATTTGAAGCCCTGAATTCTTCTGTTCTCATATGACATAGATTTCACATAAATATCAAAAGCTATGAAGAAAATGTAGTATATGTTTGCCTTGCACCTTTTTAAAACTTAACAGCTAAAGTTTCTTTTAATTAAAAGATCTTGACTCCTCTTCTTAGTGTGTCCCGCAGTGGTGTATTTAGGATTTGTGCTGCCCCATGTGGCAGTCAATCACCTACACCCCCCCATCCCCCCGCCGAGAGAGCCATTCACTAACAACCTCTAAAAACTCCCCCCGGCCAAGAGAGACTTCCACTAATACACCCCCCCGGCCAGGAGAGCCTTCCACTACCACCAGCCTTCTCCCCCCCCTCCAGCGAGGGAGAGAGAGAGACACGTACCTTCACAGCTCTGGACATCTCCTGGAATGAGAATCGGGCTCTGAATACACTTGTCAAGTAGCCTCTCTTTTTTATGTCACCTGGTTCCCATGCTGAGTTTGTCCCTTCCCCTGAAATATGCCACCCTAGGCAAATGCCTTGTTTACCTTGTTATAAATATGCCCATAGCTGTTTGCTATGGAAGCACACAGTGTCTGCTTACTCCCTAGCTGCTTGTCTATGGCTCACTGGCTCACACTGCGGGGCTTAGTCCCGCCCCCACTTTCTCCTCACTGGCTCACTGGCTCTTGCTGCTAGAATCCTGTGTGAAGAGGAAGAAAGGGGAGAAGAGAAGCAGCCATGCACAGCACTGAATCTCTTTTTTCCATCTCTTCCCCTTCACACAGGAAATGGGGAGGACAGAGAAATATAAAACATTTTTTACCTTAATGCAAGCAATGCATTAAGGTAAAAAAATGCTTTTAGCATTAGTATCACTTTAAGACACAGCAAAAATGGTGTCCAGATGAAAATGCTATGGATAAATTGTGTTTTGTGAAGAGACTTGTTAAAGGATAAGTACACCTTTTGAGCAAAAATAATAAATGCACAATTTTTTTTCAGGTAAAAAAATATGCATTTATTATTTTTGGTTGCAGGAGTCTGTAATGCAATGCACCAGCAAATTGCTGCTGCCATGCAGTTCTCCTGCAGGTCTGTCAGTATATCTGCTTGCCCGTGCAGGATGTACTGACAGGAAGATTCAATGAACTACCACGGCGCTCCACAGTGCTGTGGTAGTTCATTGAAAACTACAAGTTGACAGCGGCTAAAGGCTGTCGGGATTTGTAGTTCATTCACAAAACACTGTGTGGGAGGACCCCTTCTAGTATGGGGAACTTCTCCTTGTACGTCTGTCACAACGAGGGGGGGGGGATTGGGCAGCGGCTGCAGGATTGGGAACATGTTACATGTTCCACCCTAAAAACAGGGGAAGGGGGATATGTAACATGTTCCCAGAGGTGAAGTTATCCTTTAAATACTGGCAACAGTAGGTATTAAAGCAGCTAATGGTAAGGAATTTAATTTTCAAGCAGCATTCATAGGTGTCAATAACATAGAAT